TTTGATGTTGGAGGAACGAAATGATCTGCACAAAATGGAAAGTCTTTGTGTGAATCATGTAAATTTTTGGGATATTCCAAATCAACTTGTAAAATGTACCCCACCGATGAATCGTCCTGAATCATTGTTACATCAATATTTGTATCAACCCATTTGAAGCCTCCAAATGGTAATGGTTGAGACATAGCCCAACCGTATAAGTTGTTCACATCGAGATACAAAAGTGTTGTGGAAGGTTTTGAGGGATCATAGTTGGGCATGTATTTGTTATTAGCCTCTGAAAATCGACTGCTACAAACCGAAATTCCACCTCTAATCGCCTTTTCTATAAACAATATCATATCAACATCCTTTAAAATTTGTAATTTGCATTTTGTATATTTTAACATAGCATCCCAGGTATATCCTGGCATTGTATAATACCAAGCGGGATCTAAACCATAAGTATTCGATGCAGTTTCCCTAAAATTCTCCATGACATCTGCAAGTAGCAAAATATCAGTTTTCATATACAAGTCACTATAATCTCTTAGAGTTTTCATTTTGAATACATTCCATACATTTTGTGCATGAATGTAGTCTTCTTCACACAATTCTACATCACTCAATTTGTTATAGAATTTTTCAATGGGTGGCAGTTGAGTATCTTTCAATTTATCTACATTATCTAAATAATCATAGGGGAATACCCCTTTTCTAGGCAATAGTTTGAATGTTTCATCATCCAACTCTTTGAACTCTCGCTTCAAATTTTGAAGATTATCCATGCATAAAGTGGATACGAGTTCATCAAGACTCGCACCCATGAATCTGAAAGAATCGATAAATCTAAATTTCCTCTTACTATCATTGTCATTGAGAGTGAAAGAAATATATTTTTCCTTGTTCAATGGAAGCACACTCAAAGAGCCTCGTTTGGCCATATCTTTAATAATGAAGTGTGCATCATAATTTGACATATTATGACATATAACTGGTAAAACAAACAATCTCTTAAAAATTAAATTGCAGTTTTGATGCGCAAATCCACGAAACTGACCAGTAAAATGATCATGATCTCTCACGATGACGTCATTCGGTTCAAATATTGTTTCACAAATGTGACAAGTTCTGAAATTTCCGTTTTTATTCGGTTTTTCTATCATGGGTACAATATCTAGTATTTTGTTCTCTACGAACTTGTTTAATCTCACCTGAGAACCATTCCATGCAATCTTCACCCTCATAACTATTGAAATGAGAAATTGAATCATCATAACAACACTCAAGGTAATAACCTACCGAAAATGCCTTGTGTAGTTGATATTTCGTAGTTGTTTGTGATAATCTTGAATTACACGGTTCTAAAATGGATTCAATATCTACATAGATTACAAAAGGTACTTTCTGAATTCTACAAAGTCATACTTGGGGAATGATATTCTGCAATCGTTCTTTTTCTCACACAATACATAATGAGTTTTCAATTTTTCCTCACTATAGAAATAATTCAAGCAACGATCACATAAATGAATTTTTCGTTTCGTTTTGCTAACTTGCGTCGATATCAGACGCGACATATTTTTTATCCAACAATAGTGAAACTTTATTTCAGTTTCATCATTGTCATCTGGCATTGGTGCTGTATAATCATTCAGTTTGGGAAAATAATGGTTTTGTATTGATAGCAAATTGACATGACGTTCTAATTTACTTTTAGCGAGTCTCACGGGTACTACCACATAAGATGAACCTTTGGTGGAAAGATTCAATTCCAACGCATAAACGTTTACAGATATATTATTCAATTTCTCGAATTTATTTATACGATTCAGTTTCATTGGTATTTCTAAACCTTCAGTATTCAATACTAGACTGTGATGCGGATAGGAAGTTGTATAGCGATTATCTCCTGTGGGTGGATATAAAGCACTAACTATACTCCAGAAGAAGCATGCTTCATCATCATTCTGAATGTTGATACATGCTTTCTTTCTTGAAATTTCTAATGGTATTTTGATAAAAGATGTTCCATTACCAATTTCATATTTGTTTATTGCAACTTCCAACAATAGAATTTTTTGTAATGCCCAACCGCTCTTTTCTTCAGAAAACTCAGACAATTTATTTAAAATGTGATCAACAACATGTTCTTGATACCACACAATGAGATCCGTCCCTTGATCTAAAACTGCATTCGGTGAAATGAAATATTTTTGACTAATTATTTCCTCATCATTTGATTTTTTCACAAAATCACCCCAAAAACAGGTATTTACTTTCAAAGCTGGCATTTCCTTTAGAATTTTGTTGATAATTTTTTTAAACAAATGAAATCCATCAGCAAAAAATGCTTTTATTTCTTTATGCTTTACATTGATGATGACTCCTGTCTTTACTCTGTTATTGAAACAAGAATTGACATCCTCCCAATAAACCTTACGCTCCTTCCTCGACCTCTCATTTTTATTTTTCAACTTAATTAAACACTTTAATCGTTTCAATTGTCCAATTTTTGAAATTATTTTACTTTTCTGTCCAACTTTGAGTTTTAATTTATCCAAAGCTTCATTACACTTTTTTATATGTTGATTGATTGCTTTGATTGAACTCCTTTCAGCGGAATTGCCTTTGATCAATTTAAGCGTTTCATCAATTTTTGACATTGTTCCTCTGAATTCATCCATAATGTATCACTAATTATTTATAAAAAAAGTAACTCACCTCCAAAATTTATTTCAATTCGATTATTTCGAAATATGTGGCAGGATGAGGTTTCCCAACGTTCTTGGTCCCCCTGAATACTACAGCATACTTCCCCGCTGTGAAGTATCGAATATTTGGCTTGTACTCCTGGGTAACTCGTTGGGGCAGGAACACTATGTTTTTCTCTAGTTCTAGTATGACCGTCTCCCCATATTTAGTATTCACTAATTTAGCTGAATATATCGTATTTGGTTCACCCACAACCAAATCTGTCAGCTTTGTAACTGCCTTATCTGTTTCTAGAAGAGAGATTGAATTCATTGCATTAAGATCCATCTATAAAAAAAACACATACATAATAGAATTTATTTGTTTTACTTCGGAGGTTCTTTGTTAGAGGTTTTTGGTTGTGGAATTGTTGATATCAGAGGAATTAATTTCTTTTGATATATAATTTACTTGTCCTGTGCAATAGTATATGTGGAATAGTGGAACAAGGAAAATGATAGGAAAAATGATATTATTAATAAAGAATAACTCACCTTTGATTGTTACTGCTGACACTATACACTCAGATAGATACTCTGATAGTAGTTCTCGATTTGTAAACGTTATTTCTCTCTATATATACTGTTCATATTACCTTCCATATTCTCGTGATTTTTCAGACATTCACCAATCGTACAAACCACATTCTCTTTTGTCATTGACTTTCTAATCTGATTCAACTTTGAATAGATATTGCTCATTTGGAAACGATTCGTAGGATTCTTCATTCAAAATGAATATCTGTTGTTCCAATGTATATTTTAAAAACGTTTTTGAATAAACTTATATTATTATTATAATCATTATTATTCAAATCTTCAAAAGAAATATATAACAGACTATGTATATTATTTGAGAAGAATTGATAATCATGCAAGCTGAATTACTTTCAGAAATATCTCATATATTACCCATCATAAGCCAAATATAGGTATTGATTTTGAATTCTGATGATAGCCCATGAGAGGAACCAAACATATTCTATGGTTAGGGTCTTCAAATAATAGTGAAGATGAATATTTTACCTACACAAAAAACGGCCGTATAGACTAGCAAAACATATTAAATATTGAAAACAGTATCAGTAGCGACACCTCGCGGAATTAGGTTGAAGCGTAACACATACGAGTAGATTCTTCGAAAAGACCTCTGTAATAGGAGAAGGTAAGCATAGCAAACAGTTTCCACTTACATCCGAGTGAGGACACTAGCAGTACCGTAAAATCAAATCTATGTAGAGCATAGAAATATTTACTGAAACTCATTCATAAGCCTAATATATTTATTTAAATTGCTCATATTATTGGCCCAATGAAGCAAAATGAACCCCCCCAAATATCCATATACCCATCCATATGTCGAATATCCATACTCATGGCCCTCCAAAAAATATCTCTCGAAAACAGGGGGACAAGTTGAGTCGTACCCACACTTGCACGATGATAAATTGGACCCCCCATAGCCACTTGGTAACGTGTCGGCTTGCCAACCCAGAGATCCAAAGTTCAAATCCTATACGGTATGATTATCTTTTTTTAATTAAATAAAATTATTATTAAGTAAACTAAACGTTATACGTCATAATGAATGTAATAGGTTTCCATTAGGCGGGCCAACTGCCAAAATTCCCTACAAACCGCATTGTTTAACTATCTGTCTAACTATTGTTTTATCAACATGGGGAAAAACAGTTCTTCTTCTAGACAAGGACAATCGATAATGGAGGTCTATTAGAACATTTGTTCCTGTAATTAATGGTTCTAGAACCTTATTTTCAAGAGACTCAGAAGTATTTGCCCTGTAAGAGGTTGTTGATTGCAAAACCTATAGATGCAAGGCCTGTCCCCAACTGGTTTTGCCTGGATATTTGAAATTTTTCCATTTTTACCATGCCCTCTGGAAGAGCAGATGTTAGCTCCAGATTCAGTTCTGGAGCAGCAAGGCCTGCCAAATTTAGAGCAAGTTGGAACCTTCTGTGATATTTCAAATTTTTTATCTTTCTCTAAACCCTGGCATAACATTTTCAGCCATTTGTTCTTGAGGGCATCATGTAGATCATAACACAGGGTGATTTCTTTATCAGCTCCAATGAGTTGTAATATAGAATTATCTAGGTCATCAGAAGTTTTGGCTATTGGCAATTCATTATCGTTTTCAACTGTGGGAACCTCTAGAATGTTATTAGGCTCATTAATAGGAAAACCCTCGTCCTCAACCTCATTACTAGAAATAGATTCTTCATCTACAAAAGATGATCCCGGTTCAATCTAGTCATTGACCTCTCTGGCCTGTGGCATCAATTGAGGGTCTTGATCCATCATCACAGGATCAGTCGCTGAACATTCACCGGCCTGTGGCCCTAGACGGGATTGCTCGCGTTTCTTTCCTGGTCCGTTGTCCCTATTAGTTGGATTTTTCCCCGGCCTGTGGCCCTAGACGGGATGTATGTTGAGAACGAGATCGAGATCGGGATCTACTTCTCTGGTCTCGACGGGAAGATGATACTCTTCTAGAAGATGTGCTGTGAAAACTTCGAGAATGGCTTCTATTACGCATTATTTCATCTCTCAAACTTTGAAACTGTTTCTCTAGGTTTCGTATGCGAACTAGAACGCTCTCTCTTCCTTTTCTTCACCATTTCGGCAATAAAAAACGTTGGATCTTTTGATTAATTGTAATTTTGATCAAAATAATTGAATGAACACGTGTAAGCCTTTTCGCACTGAAAAGCGTAATGAAGTTGGGGTACCAAGCGGATGGTGGGAGGACACGGTTCTTCTTCCTCTTATCTTTAAACTCAGTGGCCTTCAGCCAGGGCCTATACTCTATCTCACCGGGCCGTAGTCTATCCCCTCTCTCTGGACGCTGACGTCACACTAGTAGGTTGAGATTTCACATCAGTCCGTACTGATGCGTTCGTAATTGATAGGCTATTGCTCATTTACTATAAATTTTAGAAGCACACTCAATCGAGACGAAATGATCCCCAACAAATTCCTCAACTTTTGGTGAAAAAATGAATCCAATAGGATGAATCAATACCGAGTTATGGCGTTGTAACGAAATTCCATTTTATTGAAAATCATGACGTTGTACTACAGAATACTATTTTTTGCAAATTTGGAATTGGAATAAGATGAAACTAACTCAATATATCAAACTACGATAATGAATCAATTGAATAGTGAAAAAATTGTAGAGTTACCTACAATGAGTCCGAAAGAAATTAAATATAAAGAGCGTGTAAAAAATGGGCCGTTATACCTACCTACCCAAATTTCGCTGTATTACGATTTCGCGGTAATTCCTTGGACTGGTAAAGGGCGATATACAATATTTCTACATTGTAAGTCACAACATAAAGTTTTGGAGAATTTAGCAGAAATTAAAATCAATTTCCTTCTCGATTATTGCGAGAATCAATGTTGCAGTTGTGGGTCTTTTGATTTAATCAGCAGAACATTCTCTAAAACCATTTCAAATATTCTGTTGAACAATTGTTGCAGAATAAAAAATAAATAAAAAAAAATCACTAAACTTTCAGGATGAGATATAGTTCAAATTTCAATTTTTAGTTTGTGATTAAGATGATATATATATATATATATATTTCTTTTTTGTTATTAGTTTATCTCATTTTGAGATATCTATCAATTTATTTTCATTTTGTTATGTTGATCATTTTTACAGTTTATTTTGTTTGGTTTTGTTTGTGTATATAATAAGGATTCAACGTTTTTTTTTTCCTTTTTTCCTTATTCATTTATATATCGTTGTTCTGGGTATTTTCTTATTCAGTTCGTTATATTCATTTTTATATATCTCATTGTTGAGATACATATTTCTTCAATTATTTTTGTTAGGTTGTGTTAGGATAGGATTTCTAACGTCATCAAAGTGCGTCCTGATCTTCTTTATAGAGATAAACGCTGCTAAAACCCTTCGAGATAAAGTGGATGTGTATCATACCGATTTGTAGGCAATCAAATTTCCTACAAAAAAGTCAGTGACAGCATATATCCATAGTTGATACGATTAGCATGGGAGGCGTCCAAACTTTTTGAACTATTCTGTAATGAACACCTGAATCATCGTTCTACTTGAATTGAAATATCGGTTTGTTGTTGGCCCTTGGAAATTTGAAAAAACTCAGTCAATCTAGATATACTATGCGAAATCTTTTCATGATCGAATCATTTCTGTGAATTGAATATTGGAATTTTGGTAGCTGTTTAAAAAAGGACAATTCTGAATGGCGTCAATTAATTTTGATATGCCATATTTCTGAAATTAATGATCGTAAATCAGTGAAATTTGATTCAGCTTCTGGAAAATTCTGTTCTGTACATATTTGACCTCTTGATATTTTTCGCTAACTGTGACAGTTTTCCCGAGGTAAATCAATGAAACGGGAGAGACAATTTCCACTGCGTTGATTTTGTCCCTACTAGTGTGACGTCACGAAAGCGATGCTCCGGCCCGGAGATAGAGTAGGCCCTGCTTCAGCACTGCAAGAGCGCTAACTACATAGTGTAAATCGATGATCAGAAGGACAAGGCGATGTCATATAATATGAGGGTTTGCACACAGAACAGCACCAGCAAGTTCATCGCCCGGCTACTGGTCAAATTGAAATCGAATCTGGCGACACACGGCAACCGGCCGGTAGAACTGTCGCCCGGTTCGTCTGGAAGCATTCGAGTTTACTTCGTCTTATTATTATTTGTTTTTCTTGGTTTTCTGACTCCTTGCGTTGCCAATTTCACCAGATCCGGTAGGTATATACTTGTTGTTAGGAGCGGGTATAGGGGGTGATGATTGTATGGTATTTAATTTACCATTAGTAAGGTTTGAGGCGTTAAAACATACCAGGGGATTTTCCAAATACTACCCATTACATAACAACACAGATCCAGAAAACTAGAAAGAAGGGATACATTTGAAGTTAAAGTATAAGGCCATATATAAAGCAATTCAAAATTTTTCAAATCTCAATAGTATTTCAATTTATTTCGATTCAAATCTTAGTATTGCAATTTTCAATGAATTTGCTCACTATTTTGATTTTTTGATGTTTCGAATCACTCAATACCATTTGATGGAGGTTTCATTCCATTCTTGATTAATTCTGCATAATTATAAAATATCTATATTCGTTTTGTTATTTTTACATTAAAAAAAGTAGTGATTAATGTCCCCAATTTCCCCACATTCACATAAGTTGCTCTCTATTACTTTTATCTTCCATAAGTGAAATGGGAGGCTACAATGCCCTAATCTGAGTCTGATTATGGATGTCAATGTTGATCGAGACAACCTCGAGCACATATTAAACCAATGTTTGGTTTGGATTTTAGGCTGGATTTCCTCAACTGTGCCTCTACTGTGTGGAGAGTTGTTCCAAAACTGTTGAAACTCACTTTTGACTATCTCTTTATTATGAGGGACTAGATCCGAACTTTGTATTTTGTCTATCTTATATCTGATATTTGCTTTCTTAGCAATTTAATCTGCTTTTTCATTTTCGTTTATATTGCAGTGACCAGGGATTCAGCACAATTTGATATTGAAATTATTTTCCTCAAGTTCATGCCATGAGTCCTTTATTTTCAAAAACATGTCATTGAAGTTTGTTCTCAGTACATTATTTTGTAATCCAGACATCGCGCCTTTAGAATCAGAGTATATAATATATTTGTCTGGTTCATCCCTGCTGATTACTAACAGGGCAAAGTAAATTGCTGTTAATTTCGCAGTCAATATTGAGGATTCACGATTGATTTTACCTCCGTTGGTGATATTTTTGTATGGTATATAAATACCAAATGATGTTTTCTCCTCATTTCTAGAGCCGTCCGTGAAGATAGATTTATGTTCGGGCCTTTTCTCATTGATTATATCCTTGGATCTTGCGTTATAATTTCCTATGTTGTCATAGAGGCATGACAGCTGATTATTATTGCAATTTTCCAACTCATGATTTTCGCTGCACTTTGGACATCTCACTCTTCCTCTGCATTGGCCCTTGGTGTGGCCATAACATAGGCAATTGTGACATTGAATTAATGGGGCATAATATTTCATTGTGTCAAACACACATGAATAGTACATATACGTATACTTTGCTTGGGACTGATTTCCCTCTGAATGTAATCAAAATGACTGGGATTTCTTTATATTGAATTTCATTATCCATAAATACTCTCTTTTTAAGCCTTCTAACATGAAATATTGTTTTATTGTTATCAATTGTCTTCATAGTGTCTTTGATTTCATCTTCAGAAAAAAATGTGTCTATATCTTTCACTATGGCTTTGGAGGTTATCATATTATTGGGGATGAAGGCTCTAAATTTATTGGCAGAGAGAAAGTGATAGTCTTCCAGTAAATTATTTGCTTCTTCCTCATTTTTAAATGATAGCAATAATCTATTTTTACTCCGTCGATCAATTGAGCTAGGAATATACCTATGGCTTCGATGAACAATTTTTCCAACTGTTAGATTTGATAGAAAATCCAATATCTTCATCCATGGATTCAATGTTTATGCTATAAGGACCTAAGTCTGATCATATCAATTATCAAATAAACTATTAGCTCCAAGATTTTTTATTGGCACATCATTGAAATCCATAAAATCTTTTTCATTTGAGATACAATTATTAATCTTTTCTGCATGAGCTTACAATCTTTTGAGTTCCACAGGTCCATTCACAATGTTTGATCATTTTTCTACAAGTTTTTCTTGAGAGTTGTTATTGGCTTTTTTTATAACAAGATCTGATAAAATAGTTATTTTGTCAGAAAGTTTGACCTCGAAATCGTTCTCTTGGTATAACAAAAAATGCCCTTCTTCACCAACTTCATCAAGTTCTTCCGCAAATTCTTCCCGGATATTAATTCACTACATCTTTGAAAGTCAAATCCATTATTGAAGTGAATTGTAATTGCTTGGCCTTGGCAATGCACGGTATTCGTAAAGTTGATGCTCTCTCTACGACGTTCACCGCAAGAATCCTTTCAAGTTTATATACACTCTTCTAATGAAAACACCCCGCATTTTATCTATTCTCTTCTATCTATACATATACCATATTAATAACATTGTATAATACTTTCATTTCAGTTTTTTGTTTATTCTGTAAACTGAAAAGGTTTAGAGTTCAAGAGTAGCTATTTAGCTAATCTTCGCCTTTTCAGGGCAAATGCGTGTACATTTGTCAAATAAAGTCAATTTATTATTATTATATAAATTAGTGTTTCTTCAGTTCAAATAAATCAGTTCGAAATTAAATAGTGTCGTGTTCGCTTCTGCACCCGAATAACGTAACAATACGTTCACGATATCGAAGAAAACACGGACTCTACCTCAGACTCATCGGAATCGGGAAGTTCGGGTCAAGAAAGTGATATTAGTCGGCAATAGTCGCTCGGGTCGTGTCATTTGGACAATAACAAGAACTTGTGTCCATAATAGTATTGAGTGGTTTGAATCCATTCAAGTCGAGGATGCCAAAATTGACCTGAAGATCGATACCGGAAGTCAGGTAAACATACTAAATTTTTCCGATTTTCAAAAATTGAAAATAAAATCCAGTGACCTTCAAAAAACCTCAACAGTGCTTTCCTCATACTCTGGACATAAAATCAAAATAGCATGCAGTTTCGCAAACATAAACAAAAAACTCATGTTCTTCATTCTCGGAAAACATTTGGCGATATCGATTCTCGGACTTGAGGCGGCTCACGCTCTGTCAATGATTCTCGGTAGCTCGCGCAACACCTCTACCTGCGATGAAGACATTTCTTGTAGCAAGTGCCTTGAAGTCGCCGCGGGAAGTGATTCGGCGAGTTCCAATAGAAATCATTACCTACGCCATAGACTCTATCGGGGTCATAGATTTGGAAGATATTTTGCAGAAACATAAAAAAGTGTTCTCAAGATTTGGTAAAGTGAATCGAACTTACTCAATAAGTTTAAAGGACAATGCCGTTCCTACAATTTCGATCGCACTCAAAGATAAAGTAAAGGAAAAAATAGACTTGATGGTTTCGGAGAAAATTTTTATCCCGGTCACTGAACCCACCGATTGGGTTCATCCTATAGTCGAGCGCCTGAGTCTAATGGCGACATAAGACTTTGTATGGACCCTAGAAATCTCAACGTGTATTTGAAGCGCGAAAATTCCAACAATTGACTCTTTGTTTAGTGAACTATACATGGTGCAAAATTTTTCACATTGTTGGATGCTTCCCAAGCGTTTTTACAAACACCCCTGGACTATAACAGTTCTGGAATGTGCACCATATCGACATGTTGGGGCAGATATCGGTATGCACGGTTGCCATATGGCATCAGCTCCGCTCCGGACATTTTTCAAAAGTTTATCTACGACAATCTTGAGAGCGTATGCGCAGTTATACCTTCACCTACCAAAAGCTATACCTATACTTATCCGATTCTGTTATGTCGGATGGTTCACAAACTCTCATATACGTTAGGTACTATTAGTCCAACTTGCACAAATTCATATTATGGAGTTATTATTATTTCATAGTCATAAATTCTCGGTCGAGAAAAATAAAATTTCATTATTGGAGTCGTTTTGTCTAACAACCTCTAATAACGGTGATAAAACGTGTATAGAAGGTAGATGAAACACGTTTTGATGAAATAAAGGTTGGAAAATGGTTGAAAAACGGTACTCAATATTCTGAAACGTTGATATGAATGATGAGAATAGACTGATATAGACATACAGACATTTCATAAAAATGATTATCGATTTGCCAGAATTTGTTTCGATCACAAATGAGACGAAATTTCAGATCACAAAATTGAAGTCAATTGCTGGCAATTCTTTAGAGGAACACGACACATGGAGGATTTTGAGAACCAAAATAAGCTATTTCGTCCTTACAAATAAAAGGACGGAGGAAAAGTGGCTGCATTCAAGGACACAGAGGTGATCCAACTAATTTATGGTAGTTATTCTCTTAATTATATGGTATTTCAATTTCCTTTTTCGTTTTTCATAATATCTAAATTGAATAACTTATGAAGTTGCTGTCCAAAAGAAGTTTGGAGCAGCAACTGATGTCCATGTGGCAGATGCAACCAAGGACTGGTTGAAGATTGCGAAGAATAAATGGATCGATGGATCTGATTGAAATTTCATTGATATCTAGGGTGACTATACACATTATAAATCTTGTATTTGTATTCTGGTTATTTTTATTATTATCAATAAATTTGCAATAATAATGAAGATTGATCCGTATATATAGTCAATATGGAGACGTTACTCCACCTCGTATTAGAAACGTTTCAGTTACGTTTAAAATTATTGGTAGTAATATCGGTTCGACGATAATATAAATCATCGTTGATTCAATCTAGATGATGAATTCTGAAATTTTACGTTTAATGTAAGTGTTAACATCAACGTTCAGAATTCGTATCTCAGCAAAGTTACTTTGAAACCAAAATACATCGTTATATTGAAATCGGTTGAAAACGTATAAAAAACGTTGAGGAACCGTTGGTTTGTATGGTTACGTCGGAACTGAAATAAAACGGTACATTTCAGTGAAATTCACATTACGTGTGCTACATGTGCAACGTCTTAGTTACGATGAATCAACGTGAAGAGGTAACGTTACTGTAGAAACAGAATAAAACGTATTGCCTAACGACATTTTGCCGTTTTTTCAACGATGAACAATAGAGGCGTCACTTGAAGAATTCAACGTTTTTTCCACGTAGCTGTGTTTATTGGGATCGGACCAGTCCGATGCTCCGAAGAGAATCCATACTTCATGATCTCCCAAGAAATGAAAATAAAATAGTGTCAATAACGGACACTGAACTCGGCAGGGTGCACTGGCGCTCCCGCTCCTGTGATTGGCACAAAAACCAAAAGTGGGAGCTGCGCGTGAGTATACCCGACTGATCATCACGAGAAGGAAGTTTTTGTTTATTGATTTTATTTTCCTCCAATACCAATAACACTCACCACTGCTGATATAGCGATTGAATGACTCCCCCACCCATTGGGTACCCTCAGTAAGACTACTTATATAAAGGGCTTGGCCCTAGGAGATAGGCCGCTGTGACGAACACTTCATATATGCACCCACATTCCTTGGTCAACACCACCACCTCTGTCTCACACGGAGGACATATATAGTACAGTTTTAGAAATTGTAACAAACAAAATCTTTTTATTTATACAATGTGTGTGTATTATGTGCTGTAAACCATATCTGTAAGAAATAAACGACTTCAATATGGCTTCGTAATTTGAAGGTCGCAGGTTCGAAGGCAGCGACTGGTCACTTCTTTTTTCAATTCTCTAGGTCTGACGGTATACAGACATCGGTCCGGCCGTCAGCCAGAGTGATCTATTGACGTCTGACCGACGTCGTTTGCCGCGTCGGCAACTTCTGGCAAGAAGGTTTTGGGCCGACGTGATAACGACCGAAATTGTTTGCTGGGTTATTACTCGCACGCAGATACTCTTGTAGACAACTCTTTCGCATCCATGGTATCCTCATGATGATTTGAATCTTCATAATGGGAAACAGTATGCTTGATCAAGAAGTATTCCCTCTCCCTCTCCCTCTCCCTCTCCCTCTCCCTCTCCCTCTCCCTCTCCCTCTCCCTCTCCCTCTCCCTCTCCCTCTCCCTCTCCCTCTCCCTCTCCCTCTCCCTCTCCCTCTCCCTCTCCCTCTCCCTCTCCCTCTCCCTCTCCCTCTCCCTCTCCCTCTCCCTCTCCCTCTCCCTCTCCCTCTCCCTCTCCCTCTCCCTCTCCCTCTCCCTCTCCCTCTCCCTCTCCCTCTCCCTCTCCCTCTCCCTCTCCCTCTCCCTCTCCCTCTCCCTCTCCCTCTCCCTCTCCCTCTCCCTCTCCCTCTCCCTCTCCCTCTCCCTCCCCTCCCCCCCCCCAAATTGGAAATAATCCGAATTTCATCAGTGGCGTGGAAAATATGGGAGGAAAAGTTATCACAACCCCCTATAAAGCACCTCTGGATGAAATTCTTGGAATGTCTTTCTTGTCAGAACATAAACCATTAAAAGATGAAACCATACACCGAATTTGAATGTGAAATATTCAATCAATTCTGAGATATCGCGAACGAATTATTATTATTTCTCAACTTAAACGCCCTGTATCTCGAGAACTGAACACTTGAGTAAATCATTTTGAAGACTAGATATTCTTGCCACTTTTCGACTGTTTTCGAGTAATTTTTTTTATCGCTTGGAGCGCACGAAAGGAAATCCATATAATGTTCAAAGAACATCGTGCGTTCCTAGGGAGGATAGGGACAGGAGGTTGGTATTGGATTTTTTTTGAACTTCTGGAGATTATATGTTGTTAGAAATACTTCCTCAGGCAATGAATTCCAGAGCCTAGCCGTTCTATGGGTGAAGGAGTTTTGATAAAGTGCTGTTCGACATTTTTCGAGGTTGATAACGAAAGGATGTGCTGACTGGCATTGTTAGTTAGGGGATGATAGCAGAGATTTCCGAAGAACATTTCCCGTGGAAGTATCGATAGAAAAATGAAAGGTCGCCGACCTTTCTACGGTGTTCCAATGATGTCAAAGAGTGAGTGAGTGTGGCGTCACCTACCAGGCGGGTGGCTCTTCTCTGTATGGAATCTAAGAGCATCAGCGTATGTTTTGGTGCTGAACCCCATATGTGGGAACAGTATTCTAGAACAGGCCGTATCTGCGCTTTGTAGATCATGAGAAGCTGTTGAGGTGTAAAGAAGCTTTTCGCACGGAACAAGAATCCGAGTTTTTGTGAAGCGATCTGACATGATTATCCCATGCAATAGTGTTGCTGATGAAAATACTGGGCATAGATATGGTGATCTTGGTGGGGATGGTGGTGCCAGACATTACAAAATCGGGCATACTGAGTTCCGCCTTTCTAGAGAAAATACAGGCTAAAGTTTTGGTGTCGTTGAATTCAACTAGGTTGTTGGTTCCCCAGGCTGTGATTTCAGCAAGGTCTTCATTGGCAGCATTGACCTGCCTGCGCCGTAAGTTCTTAGTTTCCTGGGAAGAAATAGGAATTCTGGAAGAAAGTATGGAGGGTACTGTTCTGTTAGGTTCACTTGGCAACGTCGCACATAATTTGTCTCTCTCTGTCTGTTTACGCTACGAGACGACTACGAGGGTTGTATTCTACGAGACTACGGTTTGTTGTTGTATTGCTGTCTAGAGTCGACCATTATTAAACATTTCTAAGAAGAATGTTATCTTATTATTTCGTAATTCTCGAACCCTAATTAAACATGGTGGCAGTGGTAGTGACAGTGTAAGTGTTAGTCCCCTAACCAAGTGATTTCTCAATCGAAAACGCATGTCGTTGTTGGCTACGGCAATATAAAAACCGTAGACCGCAGGTGACTCTAGAAGCGACGAAAACGATTCCGTTGTGATGTCGGTGGCTCAGTCCATATCCGTGCCGGTGTCTCCGCCGAACAAATTCGACTTTTCAGTGCGTGCCTCATGGCCTCAGTGGCGGAAAAGATTCGAACGATTTATGTCAGTGTCTGGACAGAATACAAAATCCGACGAAGAAAAGATCAACATTCTTATGTATGTCTTAGGAGAAGAAGCCGAAGAAGTGATGTTGCAATTTCGTGGAGTGCCTACCTCATACGAGGCAACATTGACCGCTTTCGAAAATCATTTCATTCCGCGTAGGAATATAATCTTCGAACGCTACAAGTTCAATACCAGGACTCAGCAACCGGGAGAATCAATTGAACTTTTCATTACAAGTTTACATTCGTTAGCCGAACATTGTGAATATGGTGCAAGAGGAGTTGATTCGTGATAAAATCGTTGTCGGCATGCTAGACCGGAAAACGAGCGAAAGGCTTCAATTGCAGGCGAATTTGACCCTTAGTGACTGTGTTCTAGCTGTAAAGCAGGCAGAGCTTCAAGCGAGCCAAAGTAAAGAAATTGGCGGGATGTCGTGTCGCGCAGGAGCAGTGTCAGTCTCTGGTGTCCAGTTTCAGAACCAATTTCAAAATAAACGAGCGGCATCGTCAAGCAGCGTTGCCAAGTCTTCTCGGGTTTCCAGATTTCCAGGGAAAGAGAGGAAGGATGATCCAAGAATACAGAAGAAGTGTCAATTCTGTGGATTAGCTGCTCATGAACGAGACAAGTGTCCAGCAAATCAATCAATTTGTAGAGCATGCAAGAAACAAGGACACTGGGCAACGGTTTGTAGGAGTAGCAGAGAAAATAAGGTCAGGTCTATTCAAGTAGATACTTATTCAGATACTCAGGAGATCAGTTCTAATGTTAACAATTGTTCAAATTGTATGTATACCTCACCTAGTAATTTCATAGGGTCTATTCAAATCAATCACATTTCGAATAAGGAATGGACTATAGGATTGAAAATGTTAGAATTGAACAAAGATGTCAATTTCATGATTGACTCAGGAGCAGATATAACCTGTATTCCCTTTTCAATATTAGAAGAAGATACAATTCAATGTCTCTCTAGAACTAGTAAGCTAGTAACAGGCCCTTCAGGCAATCCTTTGAATGTACTAGGGACTATGCATGTAACTTTATGTAATATCAACAGAAATTTCAAAACTGAGATTTATGTAATCGAAGAACTTTGTAAACCTATCTTAGGAAGATCTGCTATTATAAATCTAAACATTCTTCAGTTTGGTGATGGATTTTGTTCGAAAATCAATAGTATTGCCAAATTTGGAATTGATGAGATACAAAAAAGTTTTCCAAAAATATTTGATCAAATAGGTACCTTCAAAACTAGTATGGATATCAAAGTTAAGGAAAATGTCCAACCATTCGTACAATCAGTTCCAAGAGTAGTACCTATTCCTTTATTGAATCCATTAGAAGCAGAACTTGATCGATTACAAAAATTAGACATTATTGAACCTGTCGATTATCACACACCTTGGGTCAGTCCGATTGTGATAGTAAGAAAAGGTGAAAAAATCCGTCTGTGTGTGGACTACACCAGATTAAATAAAGCCGTTTTACGTACGCATTTTCCGATCGGTAAAGTAGAAAGAATACTTGCTCAGATTCAAGGTTCAAAATATTTCAGTCGTCTAGATACAACTTCTGGATTTTACCAAATTCGATTAACAAAAAATTGTCAAGATTTGACGTGTTTCATAACACCATTTGGCCGCTTTATTTTCAAAAGGCTTCCCTTTGGGATAACATGCGCGCCTGAGTATTTCTCAATGCTTTTGTACAGAATCTTACAAGGTCTTGAAGGTGTGATTTTTCACATTGACGATATATTGATTCATGCTTCTACCTTGGAAAAACATAATAAAATCCTTTTTGAAGTGTTAAGCCGTATCCAAGCAGAAGGTATAACCTTAAATCAAAGCAAATGTGTTTTCGGTGTAAATTCTCTTGAGTTTTTAGGTCATTCGATTTCGAGTGAAGGGATTTCTGTGGACTCAGAAAGAATTTCAGTAATTGTCAAATTTCCAGAACCAAGTGATAAAAATGAACCCTTACGCTTTTTAGGCATGGTAAATTTTTCTAGCCGATTTATTCCTAATCGTTCTGACATTCTAGAACCTTCAACATCTTTGTTAAAGAAAAATATTCCATATTCTTGGGGTATATCACAAAAACGAGCTTTTGAAGAAATCAAACAACTACTTCAGGAAAGTCCTTGTTTGGAGTATTTTGATCCATCAAAGCGAATAATAATTTCAGCAGATGCTTCATCTTTTGGTATAGGCTCTTGCTCAATTCAACAAGACAAAGATGGACAGAGAAAAGTAGTTTGCTACGCTTCTCGTTTACTTTCAAAAACTGAACAACGATACGCGCAAATTGAGCGTGAGGCATTAGCTCTAACTTGGTCCTGTGGAAAATTTTCAGAATATATTTCCGGTCTTAAAGTTTTCATTGAAACCGACCACAAACCTCTAGTGCAGGTACTTCAAACAAAATCAATTGATGATTTGACCCCGCGTTTGAAAAGATTTCGATTGAGGCTCATGCGATATGAGTACGAAATATATTATGTACCGGGTAAAGAATTGGTCATCGCGGACGCTCTTTCCAGAAAATTTGATTCAAGCACTAAAATGCCTGATGAAGATGAACTCGTGTTAGAAACTGATACCTTTGTTAATTTGATAACTACATCTTTTGAGGTTAAACCATATTTTTTGGAAGAAATTAAACAACAACAGGTTACAGATCCAATTTGTATTAAATTGAAAGAATATTCAAATTCAGGATGGCCTCAAAGGAAGTTGATAAGTTCTGAAATTTTTCCTCATTATCAGTATATAGATTCCAAATTTCCGAATGTGATGGGTTCCTCTTGAGAGGAACGCGATTAATTATTCCTAAATCAATACAAACCAAGTGTCTGGGATTTATACACCAAGGGCATCAAGGGATTGTAAAATGTAGAGCTCGGGCAAAATCGTCTGTTTGGTGGCTAGGGCTGTCAACAGAAATTGAAAATTTAGTTCGCAACTGTCCTCAATGCATAGAACACCGAGTGAACATAAAGGAACCGTTTATCAAAGAAAAATTTCCTGATCGAGCCTGGCAGAAAATCGCCCTAGATTTATTTAAACTCGATCAGTGGTACCTTATAGTGACGGACTATTTTTCCCGATTTTTCGAAATATTTGAACTCACATCACTTACAGAAAAAACAATCATCACCAAGCTGAAAGAATTGTTTTGTAGATATGGAATACCCGAAATAGTGAGATCAGATAACGGACCACAGTTTCAAAGTGAATTCAAAAAGTTTGCCCAGGATTATGATTTCGTACACATAACTAGCAGCCCGTACTATTCACAGTCTAATGGGTGCGTAGAGGCCGCAGTTAAG